TAACTAACAAGTAAATCATATGACAGTAGTGATTTATTTGATCACGTCATACTTAATAACATGTCTGGTAAGACCAGAAAATGAATTTAAAAAACATGTATTTAAAACAAAACAATCAAACTTCTACCATGACACAACCTCATACAAACCCCAAGTCTATTCAGTGCATCACACATTTTGTTGTTGTTGTTATTTATTTCATACTAAACACATGCACAACAAATATTGCACCATATTTAGCTGAATTAGCTCTATGGGTATTTTCCATCTGCAGGGACATACATTCCCCATTGCACAGTCGTTCCATGAATGGGGATAAATGACAAACCAGGGAAATATAGCAATATCACTTGCAGACAGTGTAGCACACACCCCAGACAGAAAGAAGGAGGGACATTCTTTTAAAAACAGAGCAGTGTGGTTCCCATGGCGAATCATGGTACACAGAGGCAGCCGTGCTCAGTGAGTGGTTCATTGAGAGTGAGCGCGGGGCATTGGGAAGGGAGGGGAGGGCACGATGTCTTCAGCCCATTATGTAATCACACACGTGGGTACAAGACGGGGGAGCGCACCACGCCAGCCATACAAACCACCGTATACGGTCTTAAAGGAGACGGTGCATGTGCACACACGCTGAGACATTCAGTATGGAACGTGTAGTGTACTCAAAGGGAAACAGGAATGGAACGTGTAGTGTACTCAAAGGGAAACAGGAATGTGTGTACACACAGAGGTGTACACACACACACACACACACACACACAATATGTGATAACTTGTCTAGACACACAATAATAGGCAGTTTTATACACTACATGGCCAACAGTATGTGGACACCCCTTCAAATGAGTGGATTCGGCTATTTCAGCCACATCCGTTGCTGACAGGTGTATAAAATCGAGCACACAGCCATGCAATCTCAACAGACAAACATTGGCAGTAGAATGCCCCGTACTGAAGAGCTCAGTGACTTTCAACGTGGCACCGTCATAAGATGCCACCTTTCCAACAAGTCAGTTCGTCAAATTTCTGCCCTGCTAGAGCTGCCCCGGTCAACTGTAAGTGTTGTTATTGTTATTTATTATTATTATTATATTATTATTATTGTGAAGTTAAAAATCTAGGAGCAACAACAGCTCAGCCGCTAAGTGGTAGGCCACACAAGCTCACAGAATGGGACCGCCGAGTGCTGAAGCGCGTAGCGTGTAAAAATCGTCTGTCATCGGTTGCAACACTCACTACCGAGTTCCAAACCGCCTCTGGAAGCAACGTCAGCACAAGAACGATTCATCGGGAGCTTCATGAAATGGGTTTCCATGGCCGAGCAGCCACACACAAGCCTAAAACACCATGCGCAATGCCAAGCGTCGGCTGGAGTGGTGTAAAGCTTGCCGCCATTGGACTCTTGAGCAGTGGAAACTTGTTCTCTGGAGTGATGAATCACGCTTCACCATCTGGCAGTCCGACGGTCGAATCTGGGTTTGACGGATGCTAGGAGAACGCTACCTGTCCCAATGTATAGTGCCAACTGTAAAGTTTGCTGCCCTTTTTCTGGCCCGCAAATTTGCTTTTGGCTAACAAATCGGCCTGGAAAAACGTTATGTGAGGCCCGCCGTTGAATTCTGAAAATGCCCATTATTTTGGAATGAGATGTTCGACGAGCAGGTGGCCACATACTTTTGGCTATGTAGTGTACCATCTCACTGACATAACATGCAAAAACACAGATACATCCTAAAACATACTGTGTCCTACAGTACACCTACAGTACACCAAAGCACACTTATCGTCATGCAGACAACAGAAAATTACATTCTGACACCCTTGAGCACACACACATTCCCGCGCACTCACCTGTATGAGTGTCCAAGACATAGAAAACAAAGTAACTTCGGGCAACCCAGTGGACACATGTTGAATCAAAAACAAAGACGAGCGAGCAGTACAAACCAACTCTGGTGAATAAAATCCAGTAGCAGATTCTACAGGTCTATCCAATGAGTTTTGTCACAAACTGACAGTCCGTACATCCGAGATTGAAAGAGGGGGAAGAGATCAAACAGTCGTTAGCCGAAGACGAGGTGTTCCCGTAGCCCTGAGCTGAGTAAGGAGGACAGAGGGCACAGAGGGGACATGGGGGACGGGCAGTGGATGGCAAGGGGACAGACAGTCCAGCTAGGTGCAGGGCACCAGAGCGCATGGCTGACTGCTGCTCCTTCCTCCACCATCACACTCTCAATGTAAACACAGAGACCGTGGGGAAGGAGTGCGAGCTAGAGGGAGGGAGGGAGGGAGTACAAGAGAGGAAAGTCTCCCCCTCCCTGTGTGTATCTCCCCTTCAACTGCCTACATGCGGGATACCCCCTAGCCAATCAGCTACAGAGGCTGGAGGGATGCAAGGGGTATTATTGGTTGTGGGTGTAAAGGGGAGGGGAGTGAGAGAGGTGGGGGCTGAGAGAGAGAGAGGGGGATACATAATGCTTCAGGGAGGAGTGGAGTGGAAAGAAGGGATGTGAATCGATGCGACTGGTTAACTCTTTCAATGGGAAGGATGGGCTCCTTTCATATGTTGGAGTGTGTTTGTGTCTGAATGGGAGGAGGGCGTGTGCATCAGCTCAATGATCACTGTATACCCAAATATTAAGTAGAGGGAGAATGCAGCAGCAGAAGTCAACTGCCTACATCTGTAAAAATGTAAATACTGCAATGCAACAAGAACCAAACTACTTGGTGGAGGGTCCAAATAATAAGTGGTCATATCTGTGAATCCGTGGTTGCCATGGCGCCGTGAGGTCGCCTAGGCAGAAAGCTCTGTAAATATTGTACATATTTCAATAGTTTTAGGTGTTTTTGGACAGATTTTAAAAAATCTTTTTAAATCAACTTTTTATTTTGTTAGCTAATTAAGTTTTGATTGTATCTACACTGAACCAGAATATAAATGCAACATGTAAAGTGTTGGTCCCATGTTTCATGAGCTGAAATAAAAGATCCCAGAAATGTTCCATACACACAAAAGCCTTATTTCTCTCAAATGTTGTGCACAAATTTGTTTACATCCCTGTTAGTGAGCATTTCTCCTTTGCCAAGATAGTCCATCCACCTGACAGATGTGGCATATCAAGAAGCTGATTAAACAGCATGATCATTACACAGGTGCACCTTGTGCTGGGGACAATAAAAGGCCACTCTAAAATGTGCAGTTTGGTCACACAACACAATGCCACAGATGTCTCAAGTTTCGAGGGAGCGTGCAATTGGCATGCTGACTACCAGTGAATGTCATGTTAATTTCTCTTCCATAAGCTGCCTCCAACGTTGTTTTAGAGAATTCGGCAGTACGTCCAAACGGACTCACAACCGCAGACCACGTGTATCGTGTTGTGTGAGCGAGCGGATTGCTGATGTCAACGTTGTGAACAGAGTGACCCATAGTGGCGGTGGGGTTATGGTATGGGCAAGCATAAGCTATGGATAACGAATACAATTGCAGTTTATCAATGGCAATTTTAATGCACTGAGATACTGTGACGAGATCCTGAGGCCCATTGTCGTGCCATTCATCCACTGCCATCACCTCATGTTTCAGCATGATAACGCACGGCCCCATGTCGCAAGGATCTGTACACAATTCCTGGAAGATGGACATTTCCCAGTTCTTCCATGGCCTGCATACTCACCAGACATGTCACCCATTTGTTTGGGATACTCTGGATCAACTTGTACGATGGCGTGTTCCAGTTCCCGCCAATATCCAGCAACTTCGCACAGTCATTGAAGAGGAGTGGGACAACATTCCACAGGCCACAATCAACAGCCTGATCAACTCTATGCAAAGGAGATGTGTCGCAGTGCATGAGGCAAATGGTGGTCACACCAGATACTGACTGGTTTTCTGATCCACGCCCCTACCTTTTTTTAAGGTATCTGTGACCAACAGATGCATATCTGTATTCCCAAATTGTTGCATATTGCGTTTATATTTTTGTTCAGTATATATTGATCCACAGCAGTATAAGTCAGTTATTTTACCAACTGAACTGAGAAGCTAGCTATATTTACATTTACATTTTAGTCATTTAGCAGACGCTCTTATCCAGAGCGACTTACAGGAGCATTTAGGGTTAAGTGCCTTGCTTAAGGGCACATCGACAGATTTTTCACCTAGTCGGCTCGGGGATTAGAACCAGCGACCTACTGGCACAACGCTCTTACCCACTAAGCTACCTGCCGCCCTAGCCATCTAACTGTTTTTATTTGAAACAACAAGATGGTGGAGGCTTGGAGACTGTTGAATATGGCAGAGGATCACTAAAGTCTTTGCACAATGGTTTATTTCAAGGTGGACTATCCCTGTTGACTGTATTGAGCTTCATGCGCCCTAAGCTTTGTGGATGCATGGCTTCACCCAGGTGGGTGCTACATGTTTTTCAGAGGAGTTTACCTAGGAGTCTACAACTGGGGATGGCAAGAGGTATCCTGGCTTCTGACTTGTTTCCCCCATGGATCATTTCCCCCCAGCTCAACCCTTCATCTGGGCCTCAGTTGCAAGAGACATGGACGGCGCAGGTGAGGAAGATGCACATGGAGTGTGGATCGGACACAGGATGTGACCCGTTGGACTTCCACCTCCCTCTGTGGATGACCGTGGAAGATCTTCCACCCAGAACAGAAAAGCGCTATACAAATTAAATCTAATATTATTATCTATTAGACATTTCCTTGATCTTGAAAATTACTTTTATTGAGTAAATGTATTTATTGCTTTCTTTTCATTTTGATAAGAGATGAAAATGCAATGAATTGAAGGTTATTTGTTGATGTAAAAAACCAAATTTACCGATTTTATTGTTGTGTCATCAGATTTGGGGTGGGATCGCGAGAAATTATTGGGGAAAAAATGCGGTCCCTGCTGAAGAAGTTTGAATGCCACTGCTTTAAGGAATAATTCCCAGGTTTTTACTGAAGATGAGGCTCAGTTCAAATGCAACACAGCTCACCTTGTTGGAAGCCATCTCGCTGACTGAGTGACGGGTCTGCAGGGTCTCCAGCTGGTCCAGACACCAGTCCAGCTCCTCCAGTGTCTCCATGGCCAGCTTCTGGTAGGGCTCCTCTGAGGGGGTCAAAGGTCAGTCTACTGTTAAATCCCTGAGAGAGACCACCAGAGACCATCCCATCCAGGCCCTAGTCTAGAAGTTCTAGACTGAGCCCCAGATCCTTAAGTTAATGTCCAAGATGCAGAAGAAAACAAATGGCACATCTAGCCACTGGGACATCTACAGTGGCTTGCGAAAGTATTCACCCCCCCTTGGCATTTTTCCTATTTTGTTGCCTTACAACCTGGAATTAAAATGGATTTTTGGGGGGGTTTGTATCATTTGATTTACACAACATGCCTACCACTTTGAAGATGCAAAATATTTTTTATTGTGAAACAAACAAGAAATAAGACAAATAAACAGAAAACATGAGCGTGCATAACTATTTACCCCCTCCAAAGTCAATACTTTGTAGAGCCACCTTTTGCAGCAATTACAGCTGCAAGTCTCTTGGGGTATGTCACTATAAGCTTGGCACATCTAGCCACTGGGATTTTTGCCCATTCTTCAAGGCAAAACTGCTCCAGCCCCTTCAAGTTGGATGGGTTCCACTGGTGTACAGCAATCTTTAAGTCATACCACAGATTCTCAATTGGATTGAGGTCTGGGCTTTGACTAGGCCATACCAAGACATTTAAATGTTTCCCCTTAAACCACTCAAGTGTTGCATTAGCAGTATGCTTAGGGTCATTGTCCTGCTGGAAGGTGAACCTCCATCCCAGTCTCAAATCTCTGGAAGACTGAAACAGGTTTCCCTCAGGAATTTCCCTGTATTTAGCGCCATCCATCATTCCTTGAATTCTGACCAGTTTCCCAGTTCCTGCCAATGAAAACCATCCCCACAGCATGATGCTGCCACCACCATGCTTCACTGTGGGGATGGTGTTCTCGTGGTGATGAGAGGTGTTGGGTTTGCGCCAGACATTTTCCTTGATGGCCAAAAAGCTCAATTTTAGTCTCATCTGACCAGAGTACCTTCTTCCATATGTTTGGGGAGTCTCCGACATGCCTTTTGGCGAACACCAAATGTGTTTGCTTCTTTTTTTCTTGAAGCAATGGCTTTTTTCTGGCCACTCTTCCATAAAGCCCAGCTCTGTGGAGTGTACGGCTTAAAGTGGTCCTATGGAAAGATACTCCAATCTCCACTGTGGAGCTTTGCAGCTCCTTCAGGGTTATCTTTGGTCTCTTTGTTGCCTCTCTGATTAATGCCCTCCTCGCCTGGTCCGTGAGTTTTGGTGGGCAGCCCTCTCTTGGCAGGTTTGTTGTGGTGCCATATTCCTTCCATTGTTTAATAATGGATTTAATGGTGCTCCGTGGGATGTTCAAAGTTTCTGATATTTTTTTATAACCCAACCCTGATCTGTACTTCTCCACAACATTGTCCCTGACCTGTTTGGAGAGCTCCATGGTCTTCATTCATTTCATTTCATTTCATGGTGCCGCTTGCTTGGTGGTGCCCCTTGCTTAGTGGTGTTGCAGACTCTGGGGCCTTTCAGAACAGGTGTATATATACTGAGATCATGTGACACTTAGATTGCACACAGGTGGACTTTATTTAACTAATTATGTGACTTCTGAAGGTAATTGGTTGCACTAGATCTTATTTAGGGGCTTCATATCAAAGGGGGTGAATACATATGCACGCACCACTTTTCCGTTATTTATTCTTTTGAATTTTTTTAAACAAGTTATTTTTTTCATTTCACTTCACAAAATTGGACTATTTTATGTATGTCCATTACATGAAATCCAAATAAAAATCAATTTAAATTACAGGTTGTAATGCAACAAAATAGGAAAAACGCCAAGGGGGATGAATACTTTTGCATTGTCCGCTAATACAGGACTAGTAAAGGCCCAGTGCACTACTTTTGTGATTTTTTAAAAACTAAATGTATTTGTATTTCAGGGTTTACTAGCATTTGTAACTTGAGTCTGATAATTATCTGTACAAAACAGTTAATCTGATAGTTTGGGGAATATAAAATACTTGCTTGATATACAGTGCATTCGGAAAGTATTCAGACCCCTTGACTTTTTCCACATTTTGTTACGTTACAGCCTTACTCTAAAATGGATTAAATTGTTTTCCCCCCCCATCAATCTACACACAATACACCATAATGACAAAGCAAAAACAGGTTTTTAGAAATGTTAGCAAATGTATAAAAAATTTAAAACTGAAATGTTACATTTACATAAGTATTCAGACCCTTTACTCAGTACTTTGTTGAAGCACCTTTAGCAGCGATTACAGCCTTAAGTCTTCTTGGGTATGACGCTACAAGCTTGGCACACCTGTATTTGGGGAGTTTCTCCCATTCTTCTCTGCAGATCCTCTCTGTAATCCATTAATCTTTCCCTCGATCCTGACTAGTCTCCCAAGTCCCTGCCGCTGAAAAACATCCCCACAGCATGATGCTGCCACCATCATGCTTCACCGTAGGGATGGTGCCAGGTTTCCTCCAGATGTGACGCTTGGCATTCAGGCCAAAGAGTTCCATCTTGGTTTCATCAGACCAGAGAATCTTGTTTCTCATGGTCTGAGAGTCCTTTAGGTGCCTTTTGGCAAACTTCAACAGGCTGTCATGTGCCTTTTACTGAGGAGTGGCTTCCGTCTGGCCACTCTACCATAAAAGCCTGATTGGTGTGCTGCAGAGATGGTTGTCCTTCTGGAAGGTTCTCCCATCTCCACAGAGGAACTCTGGAGCTCTGTCAGAGTGATCATCGGGTTCTTGGTCACCTCCGTGACCAAGGCCCTTCTCCCCCGATTGCTCAGTTTGGCCGGGCGGCCAGCTCTAGGAAGAGTCTTGGTGGTTCCAAACTTCTTCCATTTAAGAATGATGGAGGCCACTGTGTTCTTGGGGAACTTCAATGCTGCAGAAATGTTTTGGTACCCTTCCTCAGATCTGTCCCACGACAAAATCCTGTCTCAGAGCTCTACGGACAATTTCTTAGACCTCGTGGCTTGGTTTTTGCTCTGACATGCACTGTCAACTGTGTGTGCCTTTCTAAATCATGTCCAATCAATTGAATTTACCACAGGTGGACTCCAACCAAGTTGTAGAAACATCTCAAGGATGATCAATGGAAACAGGATGCATCTGAGCTCAATTTCGAGTCTCACAGCAAAGGGTCTGAATACTTATGTAAATAAGGTATTTCTGTTTTTATTTTTTATAAATTTGCTAAAATTTCTACAGACCTGTTTCCACATTATGTGATATTGTGTGTATATTTGAATAAGGCTGTAACGTAACAAAATGTGGAAAAAGTCAAGGGGTCTGAATACTTTCCGAATGCACTGTATGTTTTCCAGTTTCTTGAAATACAGTACTTTGCAAATGCAACTTATTTCTATATGGAAACTGAAATGGTCTATTCATTCCTTTTACATTTTAGTAGACACTCTTATCCAGAGCAACTTACAGTAGTGAGTGCTGGTCCCCCGTGGGAATCGAACCCAAAACCACATCATCACAAACCACTTGATGTCTCAATGTACTCAATTACTGTATTGTGCATAGTATTTTTCATGGTGGTGGAAAGTCTACAGGTACAAACCTAGTTGACCAGCCTATGTACAATACAGTAATGCCATTTACATTAAGTGGTTTGTAAGGATGGTAAATTAATACTGCACAAAAAGTTGTTGTTTTCCATGTTTTTGAACAAGACAAATATTTAATTTGATGTGGATGTTTTGGGTCTTTTCCCATAACTTTGCACCTTTTGAAATAAATGTTTGAGGACAGGATGTTTTCTTTTTGGATTCCATTAGAATGATTATTGCAGAGAAAGGGACAGAGCAACAACTCTTACAATTCCAAATGTTGAATCCTGCAAGATACTGTTCTTAATTATACAACTACCTTTTTTGCCAAAGCTGGAAAGAAATGTGCCCGCAACAGACGTCTTTATTGGTCTGCTAATACAGGACTTGTAAAGGCCCAGTGCAATACTTTTGTGAAAAAAATGTATAAAAAAATATACATATTTTTATTTTATTTTATATTATTATGATTTTAAAGTGGGTGCTGCAGGAACCTCAGCGCCCCTACTTCCTGCGGCTATGCATGGGTGATCACTTTCTTTTTATTTTACCATAGTCCCACAGGCTATGGTCCTGACTCCTGTATTCAGTTATCAATCAAATTCAATCAAATGTATTTATAAAGCCCTCTTTACATCAGCAGATGTCACAAAGTGCTATACAGCAAACCTGGCCTCAAGTTATCAGGCATTAGACTGTACGGCTCCATTTCAAACCAGAGACTATACAATTAATTGTCTAGACATTTAATGCATCTTTTCTCTGGTTTGTTATCAGTGAAAACTAATTCTCAAACCATGGCAGCTTCAAATACTACAAATGTCCTCCTGAGTACTTGTGTCGAGCTATGCCATTTTGGATTGCCATAGAAACTAGGACCAGTGTCTACATTTGTCTATAGCACCCCCCCCCCCCCCCCCCCCCCCCCCACAAAAAAAAAGGATGGACATAGAAACAGATATTTTTCTGTATATCTCTTTACATCTTTGCATTCTCACTGCACTGCCGTTATCAATGTAAAGCTGACAGATAAACAATACTTGCAATTGTGGCAGTAGCATCAAACAAATCAAACTGAATTTTCAGTTCTTGTGAACTTATTATTTTCACAGAGTGCAGCAGACACCAGGGAACAAGAAAACCAATTGTTGTGAAGTCATGTAAGAGGTATGATCAGATGCGTAACCTACTGACCTGGTATGCTTGGCTTGGTATGAGTAGGCATTGAGGGAGGGTTGCTGCCTGACGGCCACCTGTTGGGCCGATCCTGCAGATGAGTTATGACGGTAAAGTTGCTTCTGACTGTTCGGAGACTGGCGAGCACCTTAAGAGAGAGGGTGGAAGGGACTTTGGTGCCAACATAGAGGGTAGTTGACCAAACTCTGCCTATGGCTCTGTAGCCTGGTGCCAGATCTGTTTGGGTTGTATAGCCTACTCCTATCGTGACAATGACCAGTTGGCTATCCTGCACAAAAAGAACTGGGACCAGGCTAATTTCTCTATCTATAGCACGTGCAGGTCGTACATAATTGTTCATTTTAGTCATTTAGCAGACGCTCTTATCCAAAGCGACTTACAGGAGAAATTAGGGTTAAGTGCCTTCCTCAAGGGCACATCGACAGATTTTTCAACTAGTCAGCTCAGGGATTCAAACCAGCGACCTTTCGGTTACTGGCACAACGCTCTTTACCGCTAGGCTACCTGCTGCCACTCAGGTATTATCCACCTATAACACTTGTGAGCTCTAGTGAGACACTGAAATGCACAGGGGTACAAAACGTCACTAAACACCTGTCTCAGGTACTTCGTGTGCCTTCATGTTGCAACTCAAGACTGCTCCGAGTTCAAAATGTCACCCTGGTGAAAAATCGTGGGGGCAGTCTGCCCATAAAAGCTCTCTCCTTTCAAAACCCTTGAAGATTTCACATCTGTCCAGCTCTGCTTTGACGCACGTCAGTATTGGATTCCTCACTTGTTTTGTAGCCCTAGTCGAGTCGTGACACAATGACACACACTCCGTGCAGACGGGCTATTGCAGCAAAAGCCGGTGGTCTGGGTTGGAAGAGTCACAGCTACGTTAAAGTAGGCACATGTGTTCAGACCTTTGAAATGTTTGAATCCTTCCCGACTGCAATGTGCTTTGTGGATTCAAATAAAGTATTTAATGTGTGTGTGTTTGTGTGTAATGAATGGTGCCCTACCTCTTAAAACCCCACCAAGACAGCACTGTGCATCATATGATTTATCACGCAAGAAGTACAGAAGGCTGGCTCACTGTACTGTACACAATAATACAGCGTATTACTATGTATTTAAAGAACGAACGCATGAACATAGCACTGACCTGTGCAAATGGTGTCACAATCATGTCTTCTCCATGTCTGAAATGACAGAAGAAAACAAAAACACTGGGTTAGATACTACATCTTCAACAAATAGGTGAAGAACTGAATATCACCATGTTACAAGGGCAATATTGATATAATATATACTGTGGTTCTATGGTACGCCCTGAGTGTAAAGCAATGGGCGTCCTAAATGCAGCCTGAACATCCATATATCCTGCATCAGTTAACACATTGGACACATGGAGAAGAAACAAGTGACATGCACACAACTGACTGTGAGAACTGTGGGAAAAACAAACAAAATCCTTTGAAACTGTGCTCTGGGGGCATCATCATGCACATAATGTGTCGTCTTGTGGTCGAGCCTTTCTGTTAAGATAATAGGCCTCAGGCTCTCCATGCAGCACACAAACAGTAACAGACCCAACTCAGATGCAAGTCCTGTGGGGTTTTTCTTTTTGGGATGGTTTGGGAGGAAAGGGGGGTGAGGGTTGTGTACGTGTGTGTGTGTGTGTGTGTGTGTGTGTATGGGCAGGGTGGTTAAAGGTTATGTGTTGGGGCAGGAGGTGAGTGGGGGTGTGTGGAGGGGTTAAGGGGTTTGTGAGGACAGGAAGTGTCTGAAACCTGCAAACGCAGTGGGTCCTTAAAGGGGAAGTAAAATAGAAAAAATGTGTCACACGCATCTCTCACCACGGCAGCCAACCGACTTCCCAGTGCTTCAAGCCCTCTTCCCATTAAAGACATAGAGCGAGAGTCCAGTGACTAAGCTAGACTTAACATGGGTAAACTGACCGTGACACGGCCTCCGACCTCCAGAAACAAACATCAACAATACGAGACAGGAAGGTTATGTTTTTAGGGATCTCTGCAGGAATCATAGTTGAAGGGTTAGCTATGACAGTATAAATATGGAGAGAGTAGACATGTATTGGTTAGTAAAACATCAAGGGTGGGGGAAGAGCAACAACGGCAAAAAGAGAGACAGAAGGACAGAAAGAGTAAAACAGAGAGGGAGAGACAGAGAGAGAGAGAGAGAGAGTGAGAGAGAGAGAGAGATAGAGAGAGAGATAGTGGAAAAAGGAAAGGGCCTGGAGAAGAGGTTAGGAGGGTCATGCATCACATTGGTCCAATGGTACTTACTGCTCACTGGCCGTGGAGGAGTTGCGGGACATGGCTTTTGGTGAGAGGTCGAAGTCGGAGTCGGTGCGGTAGAGGAAGGACTCGCGGCGCTGGCTGTGGGGGTAGTTGGCCTGCAGGACCAGGCCGGAGCTGGGGCTGGCCTGGGGGTCCACAGGGCTGTGTCCCACCGGCAGCCCATTCTCCACATCAAAACTTAGGGGGAGAGAAGGGAAGAGACAGGGGTTAGGATTCATGTCATGTCTTTCAGTATTTTCAGCAGAGACATACTGGCATTGTCATCACAGGAAACATATTGGGGAGAGAAGAGAGAGAGAAGGGAAGATTCATGTGAAAAGGTGTCTGGAGCAGCAGAACAGGAAGACAAGATGTCACTGTCCATTCCTTTATTCTGTACAGTATGATGACAGAGGTATGGAAGTCTGACAAAATGTGTGAATCTTCAATCCGAAATCATCCCTGTAGTTATCGTCATCAGAAAACACCATTGAACATTCTCTGCCTGCCTCATAGCTAATACACAGTATATTCAGAATAAAAAAGAGCTGACCTAGTGATAGCAGGCCTAGAGTAGCAGCCATTCCCGACACACCCACACCGTTTATTTTAACGCAATCACACTAGTGTCAGCACTGACTTCACTACATACGTCAGCAGTGCAAAAGTGCTCCCCCTCTGTCAGGGCCCTGGGCAGCACTAAAACAAATTGTGCTGCTGGCACCTGTCCACCTCTGCAGCCAGACCCTGACGCCAAAATATCAGGGTAATCAGTCCATAGCCATCCAATCTCATAATAGGGCTGACTGGGGGGGAACCTGTTTCCAGGGGTACGTCAGGCCCAGGAGGCTGCCAAAAAAAGCTGCAAGGATTCCTGCTAGTGTCGTGGTGCGGTGTCTAGTTTCTGTGCGTAGCACAGAAACATACGAGTATGAACAGCTAGGAAAGACATTGAAGTCTGTTTGATGGGAGAGTGGAATTCCACTCTCCTTTTCATATTTTGAGAATGTATTTAGACATTCAGTTAGGAGATCAGAGGGGGAGAAAGGTGTGTGGGAGATGAAACGGGAAGGCTGGATGCGGGGATTCAACCCCAGTCTATAGAAGGAAGTAATCTACGCTACAGTATGTGTCAAGAGCCGGAAGTGTTACCAATCAACCACAGGTGAAGTATATCCAATACAGCAGTGACTTTACACATACTGCAGTCGGCAGGTGAATGCTTACGAAGTTATAATACTACAATATCCTCCTCCTTTAGTCTCTTTGGTAGGAATATGTGTCTGATCTGTGTGACTCTCCTTTGTCCAATCTAACTCCAGAAGCAGAGTTGTTCCAGAGCGATGCTACAGTATTCAGGCAGCAGCTGCAAGGTCAGGCTGAGGTGGAGTTGGACAGAGTGGTTCTAAGATTAACCCTCTATCATTGATGGGGGTACATGTGAGAGGGCTATACATAGCCCCCCTGGTTGGCGTATCATATAATTACATTAGGCTGAAACCCTCACCCCATACAGTACATACCCTTTCACTTAACTTCAAGTTCAACACATAATGAATAGAAAGTGTTGCACATTTTTGTCATGCTTTTGACAAACAAGTGATTATTTGCCAGCACTGTGTCGTGTGCGAGTTTCTTTTGAGTTAAACTATTGCTGTATGTCTCCGAGGCACCTGCAACAACAACCTCTGGATGTGCGAGTGCATTTCACTCCCAGACTCCTCTCACAACAACATTCTAACCTGCATGCCTTTGCATTTACAGATATGGGACTGTATGGGGTGTATTGTGTTGTGTCGTATGCATCCTAAATACAGGACAATGGTGCTCAGTATTTTGCTTAAATTAACATTTAAAAACAAACCTGCACCATACTTGGGCAGTGATTGACATCATTAATCAGAAACAATTATTGAATGAATTGTTTAACCAAGGTTCATTCACCTTCTTCTTCTATGCCATGTTGGCTTTTGACACCTGCATAGCCTACTGTACTGTACTGAAATCAGCTGTGCAGTGTCTATTTTTAGCTGGCTTTGGTAGTCCAGCAATAGCAGTAGCTGATAAATGAAGCATGAATGTTATGTAATCAATTCTCAATGAAGCCCCCCGATTCATGTGAGGACCTGAGAGGGAGAGAGCAAGAGAGAGCGAGAGAGAGCGAGGGCGAGTGAAAGATATGTTTGCATTTGGACGGCTCAATGCAGCGTTTTAACAAGCTCCACCTGATTGGTGGGGAGGGCCCCGGGGGGAGGGGCTTGCCTTATTACCCCACCTCTCCTCCTCTCTCTTGCCCTTTTTCTCACCCCTTCCTTCATCTCATTTTCAATGATGCGTCCGTCCCCTCGGAGCGATTTGGGCCGGCTCTGACCATTGGATGGCATCGATCACGGGGCCAATGGCGTCAGCAGCTATAAATAGCTCTATCCAAAAGAACTGAAATAGCCCCAGAAACCGCTCACACGTGAAACAAAACTCGCCCATTAAAACTGAAATCCACGTCATTCACATGAAATGTTAATGTTTGAGTAAACTATCAGAGCCTGAGGCTTGTGGATATCAGAGTACACTAATGGACTGTGGATAACTCCTTCCCAGCTGCATGAGGCTTCTCTTCTCTGGCATCAGACAACAACACTCCCACTCACTTCCACTTTCATAAACAATACAGTGCGGTGGATGAAGACGCATATTTTCCCAAGAAAACCACCTGAAAATAAACCTGGGCAAAGTTCAAGAAATGCCACCAGGAAATACCTGGGATTATCAGACTGAGTGGGAGGACAAGTGTCCATAAACAGTGCTATTCATACTTTTAGTTCCTTCTACTGGAAACAGAATGGGCTTCTGAGTGTCAGCTAGCACCATCTACTGGAGACAAAAATATAACTCATCAATGTGCCAGTCAGTGCATGTTACCCAGCACACCAGTGTCTCTATACAAGAGCACAGAGCAATGTGACCACTGTTTAAAGTACATGCATCTTAAAATGTCAGCCAGAGAACAGGTAAGATGAATCTGTGCCTCAATTTCAGATGTTACACAGACGCTACCCTCTTATAATTCATCATGGAGGATCATGTAGTTACTTGACACACAAGCATTAAACCAATTGTGCCATTCTGCTGAATAAACATTTTTAATCAATCATCTCTTATTATGGTGGTGTTCTAAGATGTTCTATGAGATGCTCTGTGTCTGTACCACAAAGGTCGCAGGCAGGTCAAAACTGGTGACGGTATTGTCATTGTTCTCAGGCTCTGACGTCAGTCACTGTCTCCTCTCCCTTCTCTTTGTGTCTGGATTACCGTCAGAACTCGTGGGAGACAAGCCTCCCTGTATTCCACTGTGGCAAAGGCAATCCTCCATGTTTCATTTCCTCCTCAATTGTGGGAAAAATAGCAAATCCATTAGTTCCTAGATAAAAGGATAAGCCTCCCTCAGGATACAGAGGACATTTAAAGAAGCCTTCAGGTCTGTGTCATTCAGACAAAGGAAGAATGGACATTAAGGTCATTCCCCAAATACCGCTCTTAGCTAATAAAAAGCAGTCAGAACCCCTGTGCAGATGAAACTTCTCAGTCAGTATGGATCAATCCTCAGCCACTGAATATGTGGGTTGGGCGGCCCTGTTAGTTCTTGCCCCAGCCAGAGCGTGGCCTATCTCATTTTACATTTTAGTCATTTAGTAGACGCTCTTATCCAGAGCGACTTACAGGAGCAATTAGGGTTAAGTGCCTTGCTCAAGGACACGTCGACAGATTTTTCACCAAGTCGGCTCAGGGATTAGAACCTGCGACCTTTCGGTTACTGGCACAACGCTCTTAACCACTAAGCTACCTGCCGCCCCAATCCTGTGATTGACACCAGCTGGGCAGCGCTGTGGTGCCCATGGGAACCGCAGAGATCTGAAGGGACTTTTACTTCTGTTCCGAGCCAGATGTTATCGGCAATAGAGTGGGCTTCCAGAGGATGACACAGCGCCTGGAGTCAAAAGTCAAATCCCCCTTCTGTTTTCTTTCCGCGTGGCGTGAGAACCAGCTCTGGGGGCCTCGCCGAACTATGACAATCAAAGTGTGTGTGTGTGTGTGTTTGTCTCCGGGAAGTTCCCGCGGCCCTTACACACCAGGAAAGAAGGGAGTGGAGGCAGAGAATGTTGGAAAACAGAGGAGTGGACCTTTTTTTGGTGTATGTGTTCCTGGTGTTGCATAAGCTTTGTAGTGGGGGGAAAGGGGGCACCTGGTTTGGGAAAGGGTGATGTTAGTGTTGCACCCCTCACCCCATTGTACGCGACCTGACACCGGCAGCAAAACAATGTGGTGCACCACCAAAAACAAGAAAAAATCATGTCTAAACACAGTTTACATATGACGACAGAGCATTAGAGCAAACATGCCTTTTATTTGAGGTCCCATGTGCCAGTCTAGAGTAAACTATTGCAACACTTCCTATTAAACCTATGTCAAACACTCAACTTTTGAACACAAACTCCATGGTTAACATTTGCTGTCCTTTGTAAATTAGGCTATATAAACCTCTTTGCCCTGTGTACTTTTGTACCGGGTCTAGCCGAAGGTGTTTTAGATAGACTATTTACTATTATTTTCTTATCTGGTCTAGCTTCTGGTGTATAATCTATAAGTCATTTCTGGATACTGATAAACATGTTATACAAGTTATTTATCTCAACAGCCGAACAAAATGTAACCCCAAAACATAATACATTCACTGTGTATCAATTCATACAAGTTGACCAAAAGGGGAAAACGTTCTGAGTACAACAATATAAGACACAGCCATGAGCATATGCTTTCTAAATATATCCCTTGAGGAGAAGTCCTTGCACGAGAACAGACAAGGAGTCAACAGAGCCCAGTCTGTTGATTATTTTTCTCTTTGAGCGACTCTCCAAACACCACAATTTGACTCGCTGTCAACAGGGTAAGAGAGACCCAACTTTACTGGTAATGTACACAGAGCTCGCCACATGCAGTTCTGAAGTTCTGAACATATACATGTTCCACCCTCCATATACATGCACGCACGCACACACACAAACAAACATCCCTGGTACCAGAGCAACAATACTTTGGGACTTTAACTGGCTTGACCAACTGGATTAAGAATAAAATGTGAAACGAAATAATCATTTTATAAACATTATAATCCAGATAAGCAGTTTAAACTAATATGACCAATATGTGAGCCTTTGAAATGTAGCTGTTTAAAAAAGGGCATGTTTGGCCTAGTAAGTTGGTTGTTGAATGTACCACTTGAGCTAATAAGATAATAGAACCCATATTTTATCACATGAATCATAAACAAACAGACATTTAAAGAACTAAAGGAACTGAGAAACCTTTGGAAAGATCTCCAAAGCAAAG